CACTCCTGAGCAAGATGCGACACAGTCAGTGCACAAATACACAGACACACAAACAGAGTATTAAGGAAGATCCGCTCTTCTACGCTACCGCCTTGACAGGGAGCTCTTTCCTATCCCGAATCCTGCCCCCAACATCCTTGATGGCTCCAGAGCTGTGAGTGGCTTTTCCACCAGCAAACCACTGGCAACTGCAGTGAGGCAGCTAGCTCTAGCCACCAATTATGCGGCAACCCAGCATTAACATCACCACACCTTCTGCTCAGGGGTCAAGAGAAGCAGGCCAGGAGGGGTGTGGTTGCCTTGGGGCATCTTCTGTTTTTAGCTCAAGAACCGAAGAGAAACAGGACTCACGTCTTGAAGCAGGGGTCTCCGGACAGCAAGGACATGTCGATGGTGACCTGAAGAAGGTTGAAAGATGGAAAGGTAGAGTCTGCAATTACAGCTGGCACTCCTAAGGGGAGGTCCTTCAAAGACCCAATTTCAGGCCCAGCTTCGCAGAACTCCCTTGCCAACTTACCTTCAGAATAGAGTTATCCTGACGGGTGTTCTTGGTGTCGTACCCCTCCAGCAAACAGCACCGGACGGTGAACCCGGAGCCGGCAAACTCCGCCAGATTCAGGTCGGCAAAACCCAACTGTAAGGGAAACAGATGTTTGCGGTAGAAAATAAAGCACAGTATTTTCCACAGGCGAAGCACAGCAGGCCAGGATGAACTTGGCAATATCTACCCTTGCAGGATGGGACATGGGTCAGAGACCTAATCCCTCATCAATGCAGGAAATGCTTGCCTATTGGGTGTGAAGGAAACAAGAGCGTTGGCTTTGGGAAGGACAGTGTTAACCCGCCCGGAGCCATTGCATAACCAAGGACACAGAGGACATTAGGTCAACGACGTGGAAAAACACACTCCTGTGCGTGCACACACCAACATAATAAGGCCGCCTTTGTGCTGTGGCATCCCAGAATGCACTGCAGCATGCGGGCCAAGAGATGAAAGGATATTGTTGTCGATGAAATCAGAGCTAGGGTTCCTAAGAAACAAGACCGAGAGCGACTGTGGAGAGAGCCGGTTTCAAACTTATTATTTTTAGGATTCTGGGAAACAAACTAGAAGCTTCATTAAAGGCTCAGAATCTTTTTACACTTGGCTCAGGTTTCTGCCTGAAGGGTAAGAGACGAGCCTGAGGCTAAAGCTTTCTTCCCCTGATGGCCAGCCATGCGAAAGAGCAAAGGAAACTTCAGGGTTTCCTTGAGGAATAAAACTCTGCTTCTTTCCCCTAAATGTTAAAAGAGAAGAGAAAACGGATGTAGAAGTGTGAGGGGAGATGATGATGCTGGAGGAATCAAAGGGGCAAAAGGCGGTTGCCATTTCTATGACCTCCTTCTTACTTGACGCTTGAAGGAACACAAGGCAAGCCACGCTGTGCAACGGCAGAGGCGGGCAACTGGTGGCCTGCTCCGAGCTTGTGGAAATTCTATCAGCTTCAACCAGCACAGCCACCGGTGAAGGATCATGGGAACTGTAGTTCAGTTACATATGGGGAAAACCATGGGCTGCCCACGATTGCTGCAGAGCAAAGCTTTGGGGTTGTTTTTTTTGTCCCACTGTGGGATAAAGCTGACTTCAAAGTCCATGGGCTTGCCGCCATGCTGGGAGCCTAAATAAGAGTTTGGCAAGAGTCCCTTAATGGGCTGCTGGCCCCCTGAACGTCACCACCCCAAGTGCCTCAGTGTGGAAGAAATCACAGCGCGTTCATTTCTGCTGTACGGCGGCCAACTGAAAGGACCTCACTTGCTTTATCTTGAAAATCCATACAACAACATATCATCTTGAAGCACAAGAGGGAGACCCAAACACGATGCTTTAGAAACAGGGTTTTTTCCCCCCTAAATGGATGGGCTGTACTGGATGGGACTGGGGTGGAGAAGCAGAGAAAAGAGGCGATTTCTTTACACGCACCCATCCGGAGGCCACACTTGAATGGAGAATTTCCCTAGCTCTTTTAATCTCGCAGCCCGCCCCCTGATTGCTTTTGGTATTCCAAGTCACCTACTTTTATAATGAGCGGCATTCCCCGGCTGGCAAACACCCTCCACCCTCCTCACATGAGTTAACAGCGGAGAACCCTGAAGGGACAAGCAGGAGTCTCTTAGATCTTGGAATTCAGAGAGACGGTGACCTACTTCTCCCACGTTTTTTTCTCCCTGCCAGTTTCAGGCGTTGCTTATCCACCCGTGGCTGCTTTGCTGCCTGAAATGCAAGCAGGCCAGGCCCTCCAAGACTCATCTTTGTTAAGAGGCAGAGGTTAACTCCCTAAATGCTCCTGCGAAGAGAAGAACGCTGAAGGGGTCTTGGATGTGCGAGGCATCATGTCCACCCAGAGATGCTGCTGGCTTCCAGTTCAAGCTGCCACTAACATAAAACTTGCTGAGATGTGTGATTTTTCGAGGAAGCACATTCCTGAGAGAGAGGAGATAGCCAAGAGCAGTCCGGGGCTCCAAGAGGAAGGTCAGCCCTTTCAACCAAAGGATGTTCAGCTATAACCTTTCAGTATGGCTTCCTTCATTTCCTCCTCTGACAGCCGGCACCTCCATCCGGCTCAGAGAACAGCCTTTCCGCTCTGCTGGTTCATCCAGCGGGCTGGCTTCCATCTATGCGCTCTTTCCCCAAAAGGAATGTGCAAAGAAGCAATACTGTGAGCCAGCCGAAAACAAACCACAAGAAAGGAAAGTTCCTCATGGAAACGAAGCCAAACAACAGGTTCTTTGCAATCCCTGTATATCACAGGGGTATGGAATTTCTGGTTTTCCATAGAGATGTTCTTGGTCCTCAGTTCCCAGACTCACCCCAAGCCAGCAGAGCCCCTAGGGTGGGGATGTGGGAGCAGGGACCCCAAACTGACAGCGGGCCAAAGCTTCCCCCGCCTCTGCTGCAGGGGGTCCATGAAGGCTTGCTTGTTTGCATCTTCTGTGAGAAGACGGAAAACTCAGAAGTGGAGAGGGGCCAGAAGACTGATCTTACTGCCCTCTTTGCTCTCACCTTCTGAAATCCCACAAAGAGCCCTGCTGGATGAGACGTACGGCATTTCCCCACCTAACTCCCAGAACAAAAAGGGGAAAGAGTTCCCCCTTAGCTTTCTCTCCGTCTTCCACATGAAAGGCTTTTGTGGGCCTGAGGTGGGGTGTCGGACGGAGCTCCCTCCTGCCACCCCTCCACCTTGCCCACCTGAAGCGGTACAGCCCACCTGAGACGGTGCCTCTGATCAAGTCAGAGAGCAGAGGCATGTCCCTCTGTGCTGCCCATTCTGGCAGGCTTGTCGTGGTTTTAGGCAGGATCCATCCCAGCTCTCCCTGGTGGTCTCCCATCCTGAGTTCGAACCTGGCCCGACTTAGCTTCTAAAATCAGTCGAGGTCCATCTATTCAGGCTGGTTCTAAAGCTGGCTACCTTCTGCCAAAGTGGAGCGCCCGCTCACTTTCCAGTATTGTACCCCTCTCTTTTCCAGTTCTCCAACAAAAACCTCTTGACTTGAACCTGCTCTGATGGAGGCAGTCAGAGGCCTCAATTACCCACAGAAACAAAGTCAGTGGGGGTACAGCTCCCCCCCCCACGTGTGCTTTAGTTCAAGACAACAGCACCAGTGAGCCTCTACAGAGAACTTTCTAAGGATGACTGAATCCGAAGGGTGGATCATCCAGCCAAGCAACCTAAACCTGGTGTGGCCAGACATCCGTGGTTTGTTTTTTTGTTTGTTTGTTTGTTTGTTGGTATGGCCAGACGTCCGTGGTTTGTTTGTTTTTTTTTAAGAGCCAAGTCTGCAGAATAATGAGAAGGCACCACATGCCATTTAAAGGAGCCATCTTTTTATTTTTTTGTTCTATGGGCTTAAGTACTCTACCTACTAATGACAGAACAGAAAAGAGGGCAGCAGGAAAAGGTAAGGGAAGAGGGTTCCTGCTTGGAAGCCGCTGGGTCCAAGGACAGGAGAAGAGGCTGGTCTCAAATAAAGTTATTTAGGCAGGGGAGGGGTAGCTTTCCTGAAACAGCCTTCCACAGATGAGCTTCTCCAGACCAACCCGAAACACCGCCTACCCTGCCAATGGCAGGAGGCAAGCTGACTCCACGAAAGGGTTCCACCGCCTAATCCTGCAACAGTAAGGATGCCGCATGTACTGCTTTTGTTCCTTTCTTCCTCCTCCCTGGTTGAAACACTAGCCAAAGGCTCCAGCAAGCTCAAAGCAGTGGCTCAAGCTTCAGGCATTATTATGAGCAGGTTGACTAGCGGTCCCGCTCTCCTCTTCAGCCTCCTGGACCGGTCTAAGGGGGAACAATCCAGCCTTGCCTCACAAAACTGTTTCCGGGATTGCTACAAAACGACCTGAGAAATGCTCGGAAGGCTCAAAGGTTTATTACTGAACAATGACGACGAAAGCAAATAACATCTTTAAAAAAACAAAAAAAAACAAAAATGACTTCTCACTTTTTTCTTACCTTGGAATAAGTTTTTCCACCCTTCAGTTCCTAGAATAATAAGAAGAGGGGGGAAAAAAACAAGAAAAAGTCATGTTATGTTTTTTACGGCAGGGCTGAGGTTAAAGTTGCGCTCCTTCTGGTGGGAACGTAATTATTGGCTTTCTCCAGTGGCCACCCACTGCCATCACTCAAAACACGGAAGATACTTTTCAGTGCAAGGGAGGTAACAGGCAGGACTAAACCAGCCATCCATGACTTGCTGCTTCACTAGCTGTTTAGATAAGATCCTTCACTTCTTGGGAAAAAATGAAAAGGCTGTCCCCCAGGGCTATACAAACAATCCATCACATACCAACCATTACAGACTGGGATTCAAATTAGGTGTTTCCAGCCCATTTTGCCAAACCTGCCCTGTTTTGCAACTTCCAAGACAGCAGCCGTGTTAAGCCCCTGGCGATGAAAAGGCATCTTAAAAGTTTCATCTGGAGGAAGCTTTTGGGAACAATAGCGCTCTTTGTCAGATTTCATCTGATCAAATCAGACTACATGGGACAAACTGGGTTTACAGCCTCAAGAAAAACGATGCCAAGTAAAACTTGCCCATCAATTAAGATTCCACAATGCCACTTCTTATTTTTGCTCTTTCTTTAGATGCAGGGACTGAGAAGGCATGGTCCATCCGTCTTGTAACAACTGTAATCCTCATTGTCCTTTAACCTTTTGGCTCTACTGCCTGACATGACAGGGAGTCCAACAACATCTGGAACAGCTGTACCTACCCCGTATCCTTCCTACATTCTCTGGTTGGCACAGAAATCTGGGTAGGAATGACTTTTGCCCGAGAATTTTGTCACCAAGAATGGCAGTCTGCACCCCTCCTCACAAAGAAGCAGCAAGAGGGTTACAAGCTGGTAAGTGGAGTGGGGTTTAAGTAGGATCAGAGGATGGGCTCGATCTAAGGAATAAAACTTCAGAATGGAAAAGCTCGGGTATAATGCCGTGGTTCCCAACCTTGGGTCACCCAGGTGTTATATTGGACGGCAACATTTAGAAACCCCAGTCAGTACAGCTAGTGGTCAAGGCTTCTGGGAGTTGCAGTTCAAGAACACCTGGATTGAGAATCACTGCTACCTGGTAACACAAAAGGAACATTTTCGCATATGGCTGGCTTTAACTCTGTTTGACATGCTGTACCTGGATGTATGGTTGCGGGGGGGAGAGGAACCCCCAAAGTATAACCATACTCGTCTGTTAAAAGTCATGGTCCTGGAAACAGCCATGGAATCCTATGGGTGTAATTGTATTTCTAGAGGAGAGACAACGGTGTGGAACTAAACAATGAACAGAACACCCACCTTGCGGACAGACACACGGCAGATGCAGGGGTCCAGGAGCCCTGTGGCAGGATTGGCGCTCATTTTACAGACAAAGGTGAATTTCTTCTTCCAGCGGACACAGTTCTCTTGAACTTCTTCCCTACGAACGAAAGGAGGAAGAGATAGGTGAGGGTCAACAGATTCTACCTCCAGGCTCCCTTGTTTTCAGATTTTGCTTACAGGAATCGGGAGAAAGTAGCCTCTGAACCTAAAGGATCACGCGGCAGGATCTTGATTTCAAGACTGCTGGCATCTGTCACTCCTGCTGCTTTCCTGTGCCGTAATTTTTTTGTGGTCTTGTCATTTTAATGAATGTGAGATATCTCACAGCCATGCATATGGATCAGCAAGAAGGGGTAAACATGCTTCCAAATAAAGAACTGGAGTACAAGTTAGGAAGCTGGGTTTGTACCCTAGTTGACACCTGCCAAAAGGTGAAAGTTAAAACTGGTGCACTGATGACTGTGAAGTGTCTTTCTCTTTCTCTATCTCTCTGTCCAAGTGCCTCCTGCAAGCTTACCAGGAAGGCATGCTTCATTCTTCCCATCATCAAACTGGAGACACAGGCAAAGACAGCAAGTAAATGATACTGGTCACAGGACACTGTGCAAAGCAGAGCACATTTTACATCGCCACTCCGTGCATGTCTACTGAAATGACGTTTGTAGCTGAAGAAGTTAATCACAACCCCCCCACACACACACAAAAAACCATGTGCCAAATAAAAATTATCAGGCTTTAAAGGCCCACAAGACGGCTTGTTGGTTATTGGCCACTGCTGGCTAATATAGCCACCTTCCTGGAAAATTCTTCATTGCTTGGGCAGGGATAGACAGGGAACACAATCTGATAGACACAAGGCACACTCTTGTGCCCAGTTAAAAATGGATTGCTTGGGCAGGGATAGACAATCTGATGACAATTTGATAGACACAAGGCACACTCTTGTGCCCAAAGAGATTTCTACACGCTTTATGGGCAAATAAATGAGAGTAGAAACCTCTAGGTTGCTGCAAAAAGAGCAGCGAGAAAGTTCAAGATTCATGTATTCTCTGCACCACAATGTTGTGAAAATGGATTTGGAGGTAGGAAGAAAAGGAGGAATAAATCTGATGGGGCAATTTCTTTTTTCAGGACGAACAGACACCCACAAATATGTTTCTGTGGCTGTATATCTGATGGGGCAATTTCTTTTTTCAGGATGAACAGACACCCACAAATATGTTTCTGTGGCTCTGTGTAAGAGAGAGAGAGAGAAGGTACTTTTATGAACCAAGAAGGCTTGCCCGATCTATTTATAGGTTAGAACACAGACAATTAAGCTCGAGAGTAATTTGGAGGGAGTGGGAAACAGACAATGATGAAATGATCTAGAATGGAAGTTCTGTACCCCCCAGCGAGCAATTTTAAAAGCCTAAAAGGAGGCAAGAGTGGGAAAACGGCACCAGGGAGCCACTAGATAAGATTGTGTTTCAATAATTAAATGCAGCTATCCCCCCTGCAGGCATAAGGCAAGCATGCAGAATTGGTGTTGCTAGGATGAAAGTACTTTTATTAACCTCAGCTTGAGGAGTCTGCTTCCTGCATTTGAATATTCAGCTGGATTTTTTTTAAATCAAATCACACACATACACCAATTTTCTGGTATGGAAAAAAGTACAGAAAATCTACACACTCCCCAAAGGAATGTCCAAGTACCACCATAGGATAATCTCTTTACTTCTTAAAACACTTGGGAGAAAAGGTAGCGAGAACAAAGGAAGGGCCCTGCTGGATTTGACTGAAGTCCTAGTTAGTATTCCTTTTTCCTTGGCGGCCAACTAGACGCCACCACAGGGAGTCCATCAACAGGATGTGAGAGGAAGCTTTCAAGCTTTCTGAACTCACAGGTCAGGCTGAACCGCTTTCGTTGGTTCTGAAGAAAGGATGTGACGCTAACTGGCGCTTTTAGATTATTTTTATTAGGCTGACACAGCTTCTTAGAATTTCTGTGCTGTTAGCCCAAGGCTGCAGGCTCATGTCACAAACCGAAATACAAACCAAACATTCTCAAGTTTGCCTCTCTGGGCGGAAAGCGTCCTCGCTGGCTTCTTAAAAAGTCCCCAAGAGAAAGGGAAAGCACAGCCCAGAGCACCTTCTTTCAGGATGCAGGTGAAAAATGTAAAGCGGGGTGGGGTGGGAAGAGTGTGGATAAGTGAGGAAGCCTGTGACATGCTTAAAAGGCAGTTGATGTTCATGACAACCACTCCCTGCATCCACATAAATATACTGGTGGCATTTTCTTGTCACCCCGACTCTGATACAGCATTAAATGCCTCCTGCCCAAGGGAGAGCACAGGTTAAAAGTCAGGGAATTTTTGTGTCCTGCAGTTCTTGCACTAAACTGCATTTTGTACCTTCTGAAACTTCCTGGAGGAACACGGGGATAAGAATGCAAACAAATAAAATGTATGTTACAGGACTGTTTGAGCAGTGCCACAGCGCTGGGTGGTTTAGTGGTCACATCACTAAGAGACTTTGAGATGGAGAAGATTCAGAGTGTGAGAGGGTGTGTGTGTTTTACTGCTCTTATTTTTGGTGAAGGAGTAGAAATCACATTGCTCTTTTGAAGAATTCCAGAAACAGGAATGAGAGAATACCACAAAGTTAAATATATATGTGTTTGTGTCCGTGTGCATGTGGCATATACTTTTCCTTCCTCGCTCCTGTCTTTAAAAGGAAGAAAATGATAGGGGATGTGTTTTCAAAATTGACCTGAAGAGCCTGAAGAACGGTGCATAAGTGCCAAATTCAGAATTAGAGAGGGCATATGTGCAGAGGAGGAGGAGGCAGCCAGGTGATTGGGAACTGGGAGGAGACCAAACACACAAACTTTTTATAGCCAAGACAATCCACAGAGTGAGAAGCCAGGAATAAAAAGCCATTGAGTTTTCAAATGTCACTCTGCAATTGAAAAACAAAACAAAAACGTGAAAGGACAGAGAGGGCTAGAAGTGCCAGCTCATCACTGGGCTTGTGAGAGGAATGTCAGGTGTCTGTGCACTCATCTTTTAAGAAAGCAGGCCTACATTTTAGTGCGATATATAATCTCTGCCAAAACATTTGCATTTGGGTCCATCCAGTTAACTCCAGAGAAGAATAAGGCACGTCTATAATGAGACTGAGGACAGTCTCGTGGGAGTAATCACCAATTCTGTGTAAGCTCACAAAAGTCAGGGAGCTATAGAAAAGAATCACAATATTGATGGACTCCATTGGTTTTTTTTTGACATTTCATAGGAAAGGAATTATGGGTCACAAAGACACCAAAGGAATGTGAGACTGAAGTGGGGAGATACAAAGCTTGTAAGCATGTCATGGGCCCTGCATTTTACTGAGGTCCCTTATTTTGGATGGTGTTAAGAAAAATGCCAACTTTACAGTCATACAAAATGGAAAGGCAGATAGATGACTTTTGAGGAACAAACAGAAAGATGGTTTGCCAACTCTTCAGGATGTGAATCAGATAAGAAAGAGAAAGGCCAATTAAAAACGAAAAAATCCAGGTTTCTTGTGAAAAGTACATTATAAATGTTAATAGGAGAGAGGCAAAAATAACACTAGTCAAAATGGATTCATCCCTCTTAGCTTACTCACATGCCCTGGAAAATAAAGGCTATTTCCTCCTTAATTTACAAGCAGATCAAATTTCCAGGACAACTCATTTTGGCCAAGAGTTTCTTACAGTTCCAGCACAGAAAAACAGAAGCAGATGAGGCCAAATTGCTAATGTCATGCACGTATATTTTCCCCAGTGTACACAAAAGCCAGATTTAGTTCTTCCCGTTAACAGAAACAAAAGGAGTGGTACTGAGCAAATTTCCAACATTTCTCCTCTCCCCACAAAATTCCTATTTATTTATTTCATTTATATTCTTCCTTTCTCCCTTTCAGGGACCCACAGCGGCCAGATGTTGGGCAAACAAAGCAGGGAGGGAAGGGAGAAAGAAAAAGGGAAAGCTGTTCTTTGCCACAGCAATAAATAAATAAAAATTCAGCCTGCCGTTTGAAAAGTGGAACAGAAGATGGGCGGCACAGATTGAAGTGGATTAGAAAGCAAGGAAAAAAAGGGTTTCTGGTTGTATGGAAGGCAGTAGAAAACAGAACAAAATGCCTGGGGGAAGGCAGCAGTAGTGGCTACACTCTTTTAATATGAAAGCCAGCAGTTAACTCAATGCCTTATAGCTTTGTTTACTTTTCATCCCTGGGGGGTGGGGTGGGGGGGGTGTCACTGAGCTTTTTGTGAGATCTGCCTGATTGAAACAAACACTGCTAAGAGATAAATCTGGGTCAAGCCCTCCAAGCAGGGCTAATCCTTTTGTGCAATTGCTTTGCAACAGATGGCTCTCGCTGGCTCACCATTTCTGGCTGGGGATGATGCCCTGCTTGGCAGAGCCAGAGTCAGGCTACCTGCCCCTAATCGAGGTAAGAAGAGGCAAAAAGGAGCAGCTGCTTTTCACCTTTACACAGCTCTCCTTCCTTACCCCAAAAGTGGTGGCTCAGAAGGCTAAATCCAGAAGATTTTTAATTGAAGCAGTATCAACGGTGGGTCCTGATGGCAATGTTTAGAATACTGTATCTTGAATTGCATTTTAATTGTTTTATCTTTGTATTTTTATTACTGTATATTTAAATTGTTGTAAGCCGCCTAGAGACCTTTGGGTAATGTGGGCGACATAAATAAAATAAATAAATAATAAATTCAGAAGGTACTGAAATAAAAACGTTGAGCTAGGACCTAGGAAACCTGGGTTCACATCTTGGACTGTCCATATTCTCTTGGCCTACCTCAAAAGAATGTTGTGGGGAGCAAGGAGAGCTGTGAAGCCTGCCTTAAAATCCGTGGAGGGAAAGCAGGATGTAAGCATAACAGATACTGTACACTTGTTAGCTAGGCTCAGAAGCCCCGAGGTCCTGCGTTCAACACCTTGTACAAGATTTTTCTGTTGCTTGTCCATAATGAAGTCAAACACTTGAGGCTGAACCTCACTATTCTCTTATACCATCTCAGCATTGTGAGCTGCCTTTTGCTTGAGCTGTGACCAAGCAGGGACAGCCCTT